ATTAAAAAAGGAAGAGGTTTTTATTCACTGAAAGGCAACCAACACATATTGTTTTCTTTGGTTTAATGGGTTGTGATGTAAATGTCATGGTATTACGCTAAGCACTCTTGTGACTTCAAGTGGTTTAGTTATTTATGTATTTATTTATTTATTTTGTGAAGACTGAACAATGACTCACTTGAGGTTGATATGTCATCAGCTCCTAAAAATATTACTTTTATTTATTCATTTATAAAAAAAAAAAGTACTTATTAAGGAGAAATGGAATTATTTAGTAAATTATGATGAAAATAGCCATTACAACCAAGAATAATAAAATTGTTAATAGACAAAATCTACAGACTACAATGCAGAGAGAATCAACGGTCATGTTAACGTGCAAACTAAGGAGAATGTTGAGCTATAACATAAAAACACTAGTTACTAAATGGGGGGTAATCCCTGAAAGTGTCAAACAAAAAAACAACGATAATGAGGAAAGTAACTAGAAATAAATCTAAAACTTAACTTTTAATACCATATAATTAAAAAGTTAAAATGTGTTTGTGTACTGGGGCAGAGATGATATTTTCTTTCTTTTTTTTTCTTTACATATATTTCATTGAAAAAAATGTATTCCCTTTCAAAACCCAATGAAAAGGTTATTATATTCACAATAATTGTGAGGTGAACTCATAATACTTCCTCTCATTGTAGTGGCCTGGGTGCACTGTCACTGTTCCCTTAACCCTGCAATGTGAAATATTATAGTTTTAGAGAAGCTGCAATGTTTACAATGCAGTGTTAAGACTGCCTCTAGTGGCTGTCTCCCAAACAGCAACTTGCGGCACCTCCTGCAGTTTCAGAGAGTTTTAAATGATGCTGGACATCATCATGCTATGCAGCAGGACACCCATAATCATGCAAAAAACCCTATAGGAAAGCACTGAGTCAATGCTTTCCTAGGGGGAATGCCAAATGCACACGCGGCAATGTTTAGACTGCAGTGTTAAGATTGCTTCTCTTGGTTGTGTACAAGACTGTCACTAGAGGCACTTCCTGCAGTTTTATGGAGTTTGACTCCATAAAACAATGCTGGTTGCCCTCATGCTTTGCATGAGGACATCCATTTTGTGTTGAAAAACCCAATAGGAAAGCATTGAGGCAATGCTTTCCTATGGGGAAGGCCTTATGCCCGTCTGCATTTGCCATGCATGCACAGTAGGCTCCCCCTGTTGGCTGATGCTGAAGAACATCGGCACAGGAATCAGGTAAGTGAAAGAAAGGGTGTTTCATAGGGGGGGAGGCAAAGGAACACTATAATGTTAGAGATACATTTCTATTCTAAAGTATTCTTTGAGACCCGAAAAGAAGAAAGGTGTAGATAGTGATTAACCCCTGTTGAAACTGTCCCTTTCTGTGCCTTTAAGGGGACCTACTATGTCTGTAATATAAAAATGCTAGACTGCTCACAGTTTTCCTACTCAAATCTAACAATAATATAACAGGAGAGGAGAGACACAGTAATGTTAAAATAAAGAAATCTGGTCAAAATTCAGTTAGTTTAGGACCATCAATAAGAGCCCTGACGATGGTTTCATCAGGCAGCTCTTCTGGTATACAGAAAACATTTCTCACTTTTCTGTTTAAAAACAGTCAAAGCTCCATAGTTACTACGGTGTGATGTAGTGGTTATGGTACCAGGAGCACTCTGCTGCCCCTCCCCAATGTAAATAATCACACTATTTTAGAATGGTTTGAGTTCTTTACACAAGCTCTTTCTCTGAGCTAAGCTTGGCAGTGGAGAGCTTAGCTCACTGGCTCAGAGCTTTCAATCTATGGGGTGAGGCTCCAATGCACTTCTGCAGCCATAACTGTTAAAGTGAGCTATAATAGTTTTGGTGCTTAGAGTGTTCCTTTAACATGGTTTACCAGGAATAAACGTAGGCCCACCATGTAAATCTTTTTATTTCCCTCCCTACAATGAACCATACCAAAACCCATTACAGAGAAGCGCTTTAACACATACTGTAGACATTTTATACAAACAGATAATTTATCTATGAAGTTATCTCAAATTCTAATATGCAATGTAACTAATGGTTTTATTTTGCATTCTATTCTGGAGCATTGATGAATGAAGTCTTGTTAACAGTCCTGCATCTTCTGGATTGAGATTTTCCTGTTACACATGTCTCATCTAGTAAAAAACTAAAATAAATCAGAACGTTTTCACATGTTACTGCAGCAACTAAGACTGGACTGTAGAAGAGCTTGATAAAAACAAAGCGTATCAGAGATATAAATATTACTGAAAAATAAAAACTACATAATGATATAAACCAGTCTCAGAATTGACGTCCACCTACTAGCCATTGGTGAGTGAATTGCCATCTCTGCTGAGTGTGTCTTGGACCCTCTAGGGTTGCTGTGTTGAGTGACTTTTAGGCCCATCTAGCAGTGTAGTTATTTGAACCATGATATATGCTAGATGTGTCTATATTAGTACATTTTGCGATCAAAAAATATAAAAAATTGAGGGAATGACACATAGAAGATAGGACCAAATGATGATAAATGAACAAAGAATGAGTAGAGGATCAATATATGATGAGTATAGATATTAGGACTATAGAATAATGAGTCATGAAAGAGGGAACATGTAATGTTTTTTTTTTTAGAAGATAGACAGAGACAATAAAGAAAGGATAATGAAATGATGCTATAAAGGATAAAGATATACTTAAAGGAACACTATAGTCACCCAAATTACTTTAGCTAAATAAAGCAGTTTTAGTGTATAGATCATTCCCCTGCAATTTCACTGCTCAATTCACTGTCATTTAGGAGTTAAATCACTTTGTTTCTGTTTATGGAGCCCTAGCCACACCTCCCCTGGCTATGATTGACAGAGCCTGCATGAAAAAAAAACTGGTTTCACTTTCAAACAGATGTAATTTACCTTAAATAATTGTATCTCAATCTCTAAATTGAACTTTAATCACATACAGGAGGCTCTTGCAGGGTCTAGCAAGCTATTAACATAGCAGGGAATAAGAAAATCTTAATTAAACAGAACTTGCAATAAAGAAAGCCTAAATAGGGCTCTCTTTACAGGAAGTGTTTATGGAAAGCTGTGCAAGTCACATGCAGGGAGGTGTGACTAGGGTTCATAAACAAAGGGATTTAACTCCTAAATGGCAGAGGATTGAGCAGTGAGGCTGCAGGGGCATGTTCTATACACCAAAACTGCTTCATTAAGCTAAAGTTGTTCAGGTGACTGTAGTCTCCCCTTAAGGACACCTTCTATAATAGCTAAACTAGCCTTCGCGATTAATTCTTGGTTTTGGGGGTTTTTTTGTTTGTTTTTTTGTTTAAAAAAATGTTTACATTTGAGTCATATGCAAGCCTTATTTTTGCTCTGTCTGTAAGGAGATGCAGAAAAAGAAAATAGCTTTTATCATTGCTTCAGCAAGTTATTAGGAACCTCTCTGCTCCTGTATTAGTTGTTGACGTTGGCACGCTCCTTCATGGCGTTTGTGTTAGAAAGTTTGATTGCATACTGGTGCTGAGATGTAGCCTTTTCAAGTTCTAGTTATTTCGGCTTAAAATGTTCAAATTTCCGAAAATGTGATCAATAACCCTAAAAGTGAGGGATGAATAAATTGACAATTCTGAGCCCCACTGACCTTCTACATGTGTTACCTGAAAACATTTTAATGTTCTATGTTCACACTCTAGTATTAACGTCAATTAAAAAAGAAAGTGCAAACGTATTTGAAATCTGTAGCATTACCTTTCACGTTTATCTTCTATTATAACTACAAAGCTCAGGTTTACTGGAACCTGTCCCACCTATTTTTAATATACATTTGAACACTGAAACTTGGCTAGTTTTGCATATATCAGTATATACACAAACATAACAAGTGTGTCGTTTTCTCTTTTACACCTACCAGTAAGTTCATCATTTAAGGATACTTGGGTATAGAGACGTCCAGTTCACCTGCCTCAATGCTCCCCTTTTTAATACGCTGGGGCAAACCATGTAATTTGTGAATAAAAAATTATACCATCTATATACATAGATCTACGTGCTCTTCAAATAATAGCAATAAGGTAATGTGAAAAAGCATGAAAAATACAATAGCGCAATTTCTTGGAGGAACAATTGATATTTCCAGCAAGCAGATAATCCACTCACATGTTTATTACCAACTGGGGGACTCTTATAGTAATAGCAGCTGATTGATGAATCTGTACTGTATGTTATATGCTGCTACAATGGTTTCACTCATATTTAGCACTTAGCTCACATTTCTTTGCATCGCTATGTGATTATGATATGTGAATAAGATCCTCTTACAGTAAATTAAAACAAATATATCTTAGTTCAATGAAAGGAATGAGTGTTTGATAGGATCCAGGTGTAGAATGATTAGGCTGTCTGAATTGACAGTGTAACATCACAGATTTCTCTTTAATAGCACCTGTGTATACCTCCAACACTGGCTGCCCAGCACTGTCCTTCATTCATGGAATGGTTAATATAACGACTTAATAAGTGTATAATGAACATGAATGCTTTAAACATTATTTAGCCCTTGAACATCAGTGAGATATAACTCAGGAAACTGATTGACCTCTGGAACACCTTTAATATGTACAATAGTTTTAAGGAGGAGGTGAATGGGTAGCCTTTCACTATACGCTACACACTATACACATGCAACAAGTGTAGCAATATACGTGTGGGTTTGTCCAGTCAATAACAGAACAATACATCTCTGGGAGTTGATGGGAATTGATGGATTGTTGATGTACAAGATGAGAGCTTGGTTAGAGCAAGAATAGAGATGCTTTTACATGGCACTTTGTGAATGGGCCCCTTACATGTCCTATTTGCTTAGAGATAATGGCCGAATGCTGCAGTTATCAGTAAACAGGTTCAGCTCCTCCTCTCTAGGTTTGAGGTGTAGTCTGAAGTTCTTTGCAGGTAAAATGTGCATCCATGCTGTTGGGTTTGATAGAGATCTGAGAGGTGAGAGCCACAGGCCAAGGGACAATAGCCAAAGCAGGACTGGGAAACCATTCATCACCAGGGGACAAAGCAGCTGTCACAAGGGACAGGAGCATCCTGCAGGCATGTCAGCTGTGGAGTGGCCTAAATGACAGGACAGGCAATCTAACCAGAGTAGGGAGTGTGCTGGGGTGACAGGGGGAATCCAGCCTATAACTAATGGCCACACAGATATGTATCGTATGCAAACACTCAGCCACACTGATACACACACATAAATTGTATGCAAACACTCTCAGCAACACTAATACACAGAAACTATTGTATGCAAACATTCACTCGGGCAGTGTGATGATACCACCTCAGCAGGCTATGTGCAAACATGTACACAGATAAATGTGTATGTATACTTGTACATGCAAACAACACATATAATGTGTTAAAGTGGTATATTGGAAAAAGAAAATCAAAGTGCTCTACAAAAAAACCTATGAGAATGAAAAAAGTAACCCTAGTCAAATCCCACAGTGCCTACCCCCTCCGATAAAAATCTGCATTCCCCAAAAACAGCTCCTAAACCATCACTACATTAAAACAATCTATAGCTAGCTCCCTGCCTTAGGGCAGCACACAGATAAACATTAAAATAAACTAAATACTAATAGAAAATGTTATTGGGGTTCCATATGAGCACTATACTTATATGCAATTAGTATTTTATTGTTGTTTTTTTCTTTTTTTTTTAAAAAAATTTAAGGGGGGATTACAGAAAAAAACGAAAGGGTAAGGGATTACAATCATTTACATAAAAATATCACAAGCCAAACACACAATAAAGGTTACCTCAAATTTTCCAAATAACACAATTCGCTTATTTGACTCTTATACTTTTTATCACCTATGCTATCTGAATCTAGAGCTGTCAAATATAATATCTCCAGTTTAATTAAAAACCAGAAAACGTAATTTTAAGATAGTCAAGCTAATTCTTTCTAACAATTATCATAAGATTTCATTTACATTCTTGTAATATTATTATTAGTAAGGTGTTGTATAATTTCAGTATCTTAACATTATAACATTAAATATAGTTCATAGAAATGAGGTCTGGATTCTACTCTTAAACATTTTTATGTTTGCCTAGTGAAAAAAAAAATGTACATATATATATACATTGTCTCTTTGCATCAGATTCTCCAATTTGAATAATATTTGATTAGTAATTAGCAACATGTAAAATGTGAAATGGATTTCTTCGCTCTTCACTCTCCAGAAAAATCATAATGTGGTTGAATGTGGGGAAGATGATTGAAAATAGAACCACCACCTTTTGGCTACATTAGGGCTTAGTTTCCCTATATTTGTCTGTCTCCACATAATCATTTTATATTCTACCGTAGTAATCATTAAGATTTTAATTTCCTGTACAGAAGGCAGATTTGTGGATTTCCAATATCTGGCTATTAATGTTGCTGCTGTCGATAGAAGAAGGAAGATTATTTTACGTGTGACTTTAGGTATGTTGTCTGGTAAAATTTTAAGGAGCATCATCTTTGGTGTATGTTCGGGCTTATAAGATGTAACCTCATCAATCAATGCACCTATATCTTTCCATAAATTATTTATTTTGTCACAGGTCCACCATGAATGTAACATGGTGCCTTTATGAGAATGGCACCTCCAACAGACATCTTCCGTTTCCGGATAGATTGATTTGAGACGAGTTGGTAACATGTACCATCTATACAGTATTTTCCAAAAAATTTCAAAATGTGATGTACAAGATGAAAGTCCCTCATGTGCTATAAAGATTTTCTCCCATTCCTCTTGTGTTATAATTTCTTGCGTGTCGAATTGCCATTCTGTCATAGATTTCCATACTGGTGTTTCTTGTGAATTGATAAGGCTATCATAGCAAATCGAGAGTGTTTTCTCTAGTGGAGAGATTGCTGCACATAGCTGTTCAAATTTCGTAATAAAAGTACTTAAGTTTTTCTGTATTGTACGTATCTTGTTATTGGACATAAGTGCTTTGACTTGGAGATATGCAAAAGTAAAGTATGAAGGAAGTACAAATTCCACTTGAAGCTTGGGAAAAGACTTTAAGCCACCTATTGTATAAAGATGAAATATATGAGTAATTCCCAATTGTTTCCATTGTAAGTATGGAAATGTGCCATTACAGTTGTATAAAATTTTAATTGGGGCCGCCAGTGACTATGGATATGCAGAGCATAGGCTTTCTCTGTTAGTATCCCAGATTTTAAGTAGATGCCTGGTAGTTGATAGTGTATCGGGGCCTATCTTTCGATTGTGGTGGGGCAACCAAATCAAAGAAAATAAATCAAAGTTTCCGCAGCAATTGCAGCAAAAGCACTATACTTATAGAGGTCCAACATTGTCCCCATAAAAAGTGGAGGGTCTCTTAACATGGAAAATCTAAATATATATAAAATGTATGATCAGGGCCGGCGGGTCCTTTAGGCGACTTAGGCAGTCGCCTAGGGCGCACTGGCCCGGGGGGGAGGGGGGCACATGGTTCGAGTGAACTGGCAGGAGGGAAGTGCACTGCACTCCCTCCTGCCAGTCACTCAGTGTAGCGTGGCCGTGCAGCGCGGACTGTACCCAGCCAGACTGAAAGGAAGTGCTCTCTCAGCAGTGGGTACATACCAGGGTCGCAGGGGTCGCGGCTGCGACCGGGCCCGGCCCACTAGGTGGCCCGGCCGCCCCTGCGACCCGGTATGTACCCAAAGGGCCAGCCTCTTCCCCTGGGGGGCCCAGGAGCCGACCACCCCAGGGCCCCCCGAAGCTGGCCCTGCTGTCACCCGGCAGGCGGGCGCGCGAGGGAGCACTCAGTGCTTCCTCTTCAGCTCCCTCGCGCGCCGCACTGATACCGGAGCCGGAAGATTACGTTATTTTCCGGCTCCGGCATCCCTACGTGGCGCGCGAGGGAGCTGAAGAGGAAGCACTGAGTGCTCCCTCGCACGCCCGCCTGCCAGCCCAGCAGCACCACTGGACCCCAGGGAATCCCCCCAGCACTCCAAAAGGTAAGGAGGCTGGGGGGATTAATTTTTTATTTATTTTTTTAAAACATGTGTGAGTGTGTGTGTTAGAGAGTGTTAGTGAGTGAGTGTTAGTGAGTGAGTGTTAGAGAGTGAGTGTTAGAGTGAGTGTTATAGTGAGTGTTAGAGTGAGTGTGAGTGTTAGTGTGAGTGTTAGAGTGTGTGTGAGTGTGAGTGTTAGAGTGTGTGTGAGTGTTAGAGTGAGTGAGTGTTAGAGTGAGTGTTAGAGTGAGTGTTAGAGTGAGTGTGAGTGTGTGTCTGCTAGTGAGTGTTAGTGTGTGTGAGTGTTAGAGTGAGTGTTAGAGTGAGTGTTAGTGTGTGTCAGTGAGTGTGTTACTGAGTGTGTGTGTGTGTGTGTTAGTGAGTCTGTTTGATGTCTGTTAGTGAGTTTGTTTGTCAATGAGAGTGTATGTTTTGTAAGTGAGTGTGTATGTCTGTCGCTGAGTGTGTCTGTCAGTAAATGTGTGTGTCTGTTAGCTAGTGTGTATGCGTCTGTAAGTGAGAGTGTGTGTCTTCAGCACTTACACTGGGGTGGAGGAGAAACAACATAGGGACACTGGGGGGAGGAGAGACCACTAAGGAACACTGGGGGAGGGAGAGGAGGAGAGACCACTAAGGGACACTGGGGGAGGGAGGGGAGGAGAGACCACTAAGGGACACTGGGAGGGGAAGGCGAGGAGGAGGGACACTGGGGGGTAGGGAGAGGAGGAGAGACCACTAAGGGACATTTGGGGTGAGGAGACACCACTAAGGGACACTGGGGGGAGGGAGACAGACCGCTAAGGGACACTGGGGGGAGGAGAGACCACTAAGGGACACTGGGGGGGAGGGAGAGGAGGAGAGACCACTAAGGGACACTGGGGGGGGGAGAGGACGGGAGACCATTAAAGGACCACTATAGTGCCAGGAAAACATACTCGTTTTCCTGGCACTATAGTGCCCTGAGGGTGCCCCCAC